AGGACTGTTGTTGTTGACAGTGACTGACGTTTCGACAACCTGTGCGGTAGTCATCTTCAGAGTCAAAGTGAGTTGTATCACGTCAGTTGATGGTATTATACTCGGGTTATTGATCTGATTGGTCAATTATGTCGCGATGTTATTGGTCGTCTGTCAGTTAAGCCGTGATGTTATTGGCTATGAAGACTCGTAATCAGTGATTGGTGCGTTTCGATCCGTCTATTGTCGCAGTTAAACAGTCGTCTATTGTTAGTCAAATTGTTAGTTTTCCAGTTGTTCTCTCGTAGTTAGTTTTGCTTGATCTCGTCAATAAGTCGTTTGTACGGCGCTGGTAACTGTTGACTACGATTCAGTGGCGTTTGTTCTAAGTTAGTAAACCAGCTTTCTAAAGTAAGACGTTGATAGTAGTCTGTAGAATACGTTATACATGTCGCAGAGTCCCAGTCAATTTGATGTTTTGTCTTTAAATGGTGCTCAGCAATGTGATTGTTGACGTCACCATTCCTCGTCGCGCGTTTGTGTTCGGTCAGTCGCGTGCTTAGGTTTCTGCCGGTTTCACCAATGTAAGAAGCCTGGCAGTCGCAGCAGTTGATCTTGTATACTGCTCCCTGTCTAGTAAGCAGTCGCCGTAAAGTGGTTATCGGTTTGTGCGCAACACGTATATTGTAAGGTTGTAATATACCTGCAATAGTTTCAGAGGTGCCTCTGATGTACGGTATAGTCGCTGTCGTAACAGGGCCAGAGTTGGTCTGAGAGTTGGAATCAGTGTTACTGTGAGTGTTCCGTCTAACAAAGTCCGTGTTGTAATTGTTCTTACTAAAAACGTTGTTAAGATAATCAGTCTCGTCTTGTAGGCTGTCAGGTGAGTCGCAAACTAGTTGCGCTCGTCTCGTCAGAGCCCGGATAGTAGTAGCCTTGTGAGAGGTCGGGTTGTACGAAGACTTATTACACTTATTACATTTAAGACAGACAGACTTAATTTAAGTGCGGGGATTTTCACAGTCAATTAAAAATAAAAAATTAAAAAATGCTAGAAAACTGTTTGAATAATTTTTTTGTATCAATAGCATTTTCTGCATAATTTATGAATTAAAAAATCCACCAGTTCTTAAATTACATTCAATAAGCACTCTTTACATCAATTCATGTTTAATTTACAAGGTAGTGCTAAAATACCGTAGTCACGGTTTTTTGGTAATCATTTTCAAGTGACGATAGAGTCAGTTGGGGTACTATAACACTACTAAAATCCATTTCGTTTTTCCAATTCATATTTGATTTTGATCATCCCAGCGAGGTTTAAAAAAGAAAGCCCTAATATTCGCAAGAAAGAAAAACCGTGAAGGATTCTGGTAGCAGTAGTAAAGGGGGGGGGGACACCCTTGTGTCCCTTTGTCTCCCGACTCCCGCCCTTTAGCGAGAGAGACGAGACACTTCTATTACACGACTGAACCAGTCGACATACGTGTACATGTGTTATGCCATCTCATTCATGACCTATGACGTAAGCGACTTGGAAAGGTTTCCAGTTTGACCGGAAGTAACGCCTTTTTTTTATATCGAGTACCAATTTTCGTTTTTTGACTTTTCTCGCATATACAACTTTTGCTTTAAGCCTCGGAGAACGTTAAATGGACGTTTTTGGGTTCGTTTCTTTGACTGGATGATAAGCAGTAACAAATAACGAAAGCTTGCCTTTTTGAATTTCTTCCCCGCTTCCCGCCGCCGTAGAGATCCCCCTTCCCGCCCTTTCTTCTCCCAGGCTCCTTCGAGGCCGTCTTAGAGATAATGACCGAGCGCGTAGCGCGGACCGAGCGGGTAGATTTACTGCACCTTTTCATTGTTTTACAACCAGCAGGACATCATTGTGGTCACTAAAATGGAACGGTAGGCTATTTTTCGTAGTAATGCAACCTCGTCCTCAGGGCTTTTCCCTCAAAAAATGGGTGGGGCGGGAAAAGGCCCTGGCATCGGCTGGTCACGTGTACACCCTAAATATTCCTGACAAGCTAATTTATACGCAACCCGCTGGTTTTGCGCTGACAGAAGGGAGTAACAATCGAAAATAATAACATCGCGCACTATGTCAATATTTTCTCGTGTGTGCGATTAAAATTGCGCATTATTCAAATGCTAGAAGTTTATGAAAGGGCATACCGGCTCTACGTTGTCACGTACAAAATATGTCAAATGCTTCAACGTTGAGACAAGCTGTTATGTCCCACTGTTATCGACTAGTACTTCGACTAAACTTCATCGTGATTGTGGAATTACTGTACGATCAAGCGGAAAGTGATTTTGTCCTATGTCAAACAAAAATGCGGGCCTTTGCCTCCAGGATCTGCAGTGAATTTAAACAAATTGAACTTAATTGAAATAGACTCGTTCATCAAAATGCTTTATGAAGTCTGGTCTTCTCTTCAACCCGACCATGAAACAAACAAGTCTCCGCGCCGGATGCAAGTCAGCCCTCCAGCCAGGAACGATGACAGGTCGCCGATCTGAAACATTTGAAGAACTCTTACATCTTTTCTCTTCCGAGGATAAGTACAAAGGATTTTCCTTATATTAAAGAGACGATTGACTGATCGATTGGAATCAAAGACAGCTCTGTAGATTTTAAATGGACCCAAGTCTTTCTTTATTGCCAGTCGTTTGATCGCAGAGGTCAATGAATTTTATTAAAAATACGGGTCATACAGGATAAGTGTAAACCAACGCGTGTCGCTATGATATCGCTGAGAGTTAAGGTGAATAGAACTAGGCTTTGTACGGCGGCCCACTTCTCAAGAAATGAAATAAAATATCAGAAGAGTCGAGAAAGCGGACTTTTCCAGTACAACCTTTATGCACGTACGATAGCTTGTTTGTTTTAGAAGTTTTACAAATGTTACTCGCTGTCCCCTTCGTAGACATCGGAAGAAAGCAAAAAATTACCATAGCCAGTATCTGTGACAAAAAGGAAACCTTGTAAAACTTTTCGTTAATCGTCAAGAGATATAAAAGGTCGCGGCGAGATCGCGCGCTGTGAGGTTACGCATAATTTTAGCTTTTCACAAGGCGCTAATTTATTACACCCAGGATTTTAGGGTGTACGAGGAGACTCGTGACCAGCCGATGCCAGGGCCTTTTCCCGCCCCACCCATTTTTGAGGGAAAAGCCCTGGGGACGAGGTTGATAGTAATGACCACCTGTTCCACCTAAATGACCTGCTTTTCCTTTTTCTGAAAATCATGCCCCGCTCAAAACAACGGAAGGTGCATTAAAATGTCTTGAGAGGATCGTCTACATACTCAGTGCCAAAACTATGAATCAGCTTACTAAATCCATTTTCTTATGCCTATACGGCTTGCTAAACGGCATTTTTATACTTTTTACTGACTAGGTAAGTACACCAGTGATGTTTGTCTTTTTCGTAAAATAGCATAATAAAATGAATTGAAAACAATAACAACAATCATCTTATCTAATTCCAAAGTCATTGACCGCGATGGCAAAGTACTTGACAGGACCTTCAACAAAGGTGTGGCATTTGGGCGGTACACCTCTACCCAAACGTTCCCCGAGTGCCCCCCCCCGCCCTCTCCCCACCCCGGGAGTTGACGTACCTCCCGTAAGTGACCTCCCAATCTGCGAAAACAATTGAGCGCTTGCTTACAGAAGGTGGATGCTTACGAGAATGGAACTATAGAGGGTCTTGTCGAAGACGAGGACCTGACACATCTACTTTTTGAAAGAGAATTCATTGGATTGCAATTGTAAAGTTACGGTACAGCTCCTTGTGGTCGCTAAAAGATCTTCGCAAAGTAGTTCTTACAGTTAGCATAGAGATCGAGCTTAAGTGGGAAATCTATTTTAAAACCGTAACACCCAAAGTGGTCACGGTCGCTTTCGATCAATAGGTGGTTTTTTAACCGAAGTGATCTGACCAAAAGACATGCAGTAGTCCAGGTGAATAAAAACGGGCTATCCGTTCCTCTGAAATAGAAAAAACAACGTCACTTGGGGTATGTCAAAGGTCCATAACTCTGTGTCGTCATTTTTTAAAAGTACTACACCATCCCTTTTTGGAAAGATGGAAACAGCCAGGGAGTCCTATCGTGTTCAATCCCTCGCGGTTTGACATTCTCAAAGCAGTAACCAATGTTACCTTTCTACTTGAGTCTGAGGAAACTTTAACAAACTCTGAAGTAGTGGAATATATAGTATCTTCTTTAAGAGAACAGGCAATCGCTTTGACCTCTCTACCGTTTCTCGAATCAACAAGCCCTTAAAATTTCGAAAAGACTCAAGTTCCTCTAAGGTGACCGAACAGATACAAATTTTATAGCGCCACTTAAAATGAATTTCTACAGCTCTAAAAGTACTTTGGATAGCCTAAAAAGTGTTTTCAATGTATTAAAGAGGAAACTGTCGTTGGGTGCATTCTCCTGATATGTGTGCTATTGGCCCCGGTTCCTGGTGTATGTATACGTTTTGCTACCTTTTACAGCTTTTAGTCAAACAATAAAGATAAAGCAAAGCTCTGAAGTGCTTTCTGCTACTTTGAAAGTCCCAATTTTTACAAGGATCATTACTAAACTCTTCACATAATTCTTATGTTAATCGTACACTAACTTTAAGAACAAGCTTCTTACACCCCGCTGTTAGCTCGTTACCTTTATATTTAGTTTTGTGTTTGTAATTTGGTTCAGGGATAGAAATGACTCCCATTGTATTGGGTTTTTAAGAGCGAATAAAGTTACTTTTGTTTTAACTTTTGGGAAAATACCGCAGAGCTAATTCGAAACATCCGAACTCTACTACACGTATTGTTCACCGAAATCACTACATAAAATTGAAATAAAATAAAAGTACAGACGATCTGATTGATCACAGAAGAAAAACAAAGAGAGCTGTACATTCTGTAAATGATTCCCAAAACAAAACCGCCTCTAGTCTTACAAGTCCTTTGTCTCTTTTCATCTTACAGAACTGCTCAAAATGAACACCAAGAGAACTCAAGAATCCATATCTGAAATGAGTTTATGGCAAGCTTGTAAGTGATCAAAATTGATGTGACCCCATTCCTCTGAGGAATTGTCAACCAAACGCAACTGGGCATTTTTACCAGCGTAATCTGTTACATTCCAGCTTTCCTCTTTCATAGCTTCATCACACGCCTTTGTCGTCTTATTGCGAACCACTTCCCCACCAATAATAAGCTCAGCACGAATGTTTGGAAAACTCTTGTCGCAGCCTGATCCAATCAGGAAGGTAAGCAACTTTCCAGTAATCTGAAAACTGGGTGACGTCATTGAGCCTTGAGGACCATCACCTTGCTGTCCCCCAAACGGTTCAGAGGGACTGGACCGATTCTCGTAGGTACCAATCCACCAATCCCCTTTGTGGTTGCTCTCAAACTTATGCTTCCTTCCTGATAGGTTATCCCCGTATGTTGGCTGATTATTGAATGCTGTACCATTTAAAGTCCAATTTGACAAATCATGGTCTTCGAAGTCAAATATTGTGTAACACTCTAGTTTGAGAACAAAAGATATTTAAGATCAGAGAGTGAGATGGCTGTGACAGTGAGATAATCAATTTGTTCGTGTTAAAAGAGAAGCCATAGGAGACAATTTAATAGCGAAATTTTCATAAGCATAATTATTATTAAGATCGAGAAGAATTAAATCAGAAGAGCAGCCAAACCAGTTTTTACCTCGTCAGAAAAATATCAGACTGATCAACATTTCTGCTAGCGATGAGACACTATGTTGCCAGAGGCAGTTGTTAAAGAGTTTTCCTTAACTCCTTTCTCATATAATGTTTTGTTTAAAAGTTTACGATTTACGTGATTTACGATCATAACTGTCAAAGCAGCCAATGCCTCAGACTTTAGAAGATTCGTTGGTGTTCAGTGCAGTGGTTTTTTTTTTTTACAAAAGCTAAAGAAAAAAAAATCTTCATCTAGCGCACCAGTTATTGTTAACACTTTATTGCATGGCCGTTTTTTTTTTCTTTACCAGGAACTATTGGCAACCTCAAACCGGTAGACATCATCATACTTCAGGCTGTTTTTCTGATGGTGATCAGAAAATCAGTGATGTCTTTTACGCTCGCTTGCAACTGCTTTCAGTCTTGGGAAGTTTGCACTAACAGTGGTATACCTGTGCAGATGTATCCGTCTGCATAGTAACCAATATTGCAGGTGCATCTGAAAGATCCTTCAGTGTTCGTGCAAGCTGCGTTCTTTCCACACCTCAGTTCTTCTTGACATTCGTTGATATCTAGAATAGTGTTGTAATAGTGTGAATTAACTACTTACATCTCACTTGCGTTTATATTCTTTATAAAGCGGAAGACAGTGAATAAGCCACCCTTTCTTTTAAGTCTTCTCTCCCTCTCTTTCCTATGCAAATAGATCAATGGTATACTAGCATAATATTTCTGCTACAAGCTCCCCTTTTCGTCTTCTTGGCCAGAGAAATAATACCTCGCTTATAACTGAGCTTTCCACTTCCATCAGCACGCTGGATTTAAAATCCACTCTTCTACCTTTTCTTCTGGATACCGGCCCTTTAATTAATTAATTAATTAATTAATAATAATAATAATAATAATAATAATAATAATAATAATAATAATAATTATTATTATTATTATTATTATTATTGTTGTTGTTCCTTGTAGTCTGTTAGAAACTGGCCCATTCCTTGGTCCTGAGTTGCTAGAGGGATATTTTACTGGATGGACAGAAATCTTCTTAGTATACGTGCCGCTCCTAAGAGGATGATCTTTTGCAGTTTATTGATGGTTAGATCTTTTCTGAACTGTTTACAACAACTAAGGACCCAAGTAAACACTGGGATACCTGTGCAGTTGTATCCATCTCCATAGAATCCAGTCTTGCAGTTGCGTCTGTAAGATCCCTTTGTGTTTGTACAATCTGCCTTCTGGCTACACTCGTGACTGTTTTCATCACATTCGTTAATATCTTTACTTTGCAAAGAAAACGATGACTGGACAGTGGAACTGTCTCGTTTACACGACAGGTCGACAGTCCACCGAAAATTAACTCAGCTTCAAATTATAACTCAGATCGAGAATTTTAGGCTAAACGAAGGTGAAAGTAAAGAGAAACGTGCCGCAAATCCTGAATCCACTCCAAAGTAAAAGGAAAACTCTTTCATCAATGCACAAGCTCCTGAAAACGCTGCTTCCGTCTGGAAGGCCCTGCGCTTGATGCGCTTGTGATGGT